AAGGTGGCGCTGTGGAGCAATTTTTCTATTGAGGTGTGTATTGTTCTTCCAAATTATAAAATTTTTCACCGGGTCTGATGTACATGGCAATTTTGGTGAGTTTTCGAGATGTTTAGGGCCTCAAAAACGTGTCTCTTTGGCACGAATAATAATAATCCAAGCAGTTCCAATAGGGTCTTCGCACCCTTTTGGGTGCTCGGACCCTAATAATCACAAGGGTTTCAATAGGGTCCTTGCACCATTAGTGCTCGGACCCTAAAAATAAGATAAGTTATATATACAGTATACACTAAGCTTTCTTATGTTAATTTATTGCCTTAGAAAACAGTCAAATCTCATTACAGCTCAGCACAGGAATTCTAAAGGCTGTAGATAAATGTTCTATAATGATATATACCGATGTTTAATGAAAAATAGAAGGCATTATAATAAATGTGATGTATTAACTAACACTGAAGGAGAGGTGCAAGACAAGCACGATATAAAATCAACAATAAAAATAAAACCACAGGTATAAAGAAAGCAGATAAGACAAGAAAGAAAACTACAAAAACACCACCACATAAAAGGAAGGTTTTAAGAGGATACTGACATCAACACCTGGGGAAACCTGTTGAAAAAAGTACAATCACTATCAATGCCACCTACTTTAAAGGAACTTAAATTATATTTTATACAGCTTAAAGAACAGCAATGCAGCAGATTTGGTTTGATTATTGTTTGTTATTTATGGTGCTCAAAAGACACTTTAAAAAAAAAAATTTAGTAGTAGAACCTTTTGCTGCAGTTTCAGCATTGAGCCTGTGTGGATCGGTCTCCAGAACTGACTGCAAGGGAATCTTGACAAAACAGCCACAAATTCTCTTTTGGACCGAGGTCTGGGCTCTGACTCGGCCATCCCAGATATTCACCTTGTTGACATTAAACCATTTCTGCAGTTCTCTTGCAGACTGCATCAGGTTGTCCTCCAGGACATCCCTATAAGTTGTTGCCTTCATTTAACCCTCTACCTTCCAGGACCTGCTACTGAGAATCATCCCCACATCATGATGCTGCCACCACCATGCTTCACAGTGGGGATGGTGTGTTTGTGATGATATGCAGTGTTCGATGTCCACTAAACACAGTGTCTAATCTGACAGCCAACAAGTTAAATGTTGGTATAAACAGACTAAAGATTCTTCTTCCAGCTGATTTCAGAGTCTTCCACATGATTATATACTTAAAGTGAAGCACAGAAAGAAAGTGGGATGATTTTTTTTTTTGCTAAGAGCACAGTGTCTTGTATTTCATATTCCTCTTAGTCTTAAATTGTGCAACTGAGAGGGTAAAACCTAGAGAATTGTGGGCTACGTTAAGCCCCCATGTTTCATTTTTTTTGCCATTCATTCAGTTCCATAAAACACCAGAAAAGTCAATAGAAAGGCAAACATACATCCAAAAAAAGACATTAGACAGAAGATTACTCTTAAGCTTTTATTAATATTTAAGTTTGCTTTTTTTTAGGATGTTCATTGTGTTACACAGAGAAATTAGTCACACAAGTAAATTTGATTGTATTCTCTTTACTTTTAATCTTTTTTTTATCGTTAATTATATTATTCTCCCTTATAAGCGCTAATGCTAAAAAAGTTACACAAGAACTATCACACAGATAACTAACTTGTGAGCACATCGGGACAGTAAACTAACACTTCATATAGATAAAACAACCAAATAAAAATAAAAAATAAAATCCAAAACATTGAAGGGGAAAGAAAAAATATGAGCAAAAGCAAAAAGTAAGAGACGAACAAAAGACAAAATGGACAAGCATTTACAATCACACAGCCCTGCTCAACTCTCCAGAAAGAAGAAGTACCGCTTCGTTTTCCTTATTTGGTAATTTTCTTTTCTAGGCTCCATCTGTTATCCCTTATTTGGTAGATGATCCATTTGTTATCTGCTATTAATTTCAGCCTGGGATGAGCAAAACATTTACATTCTACACTTCAGCCCTCTGGACAGTCACCAAAGTGGCATCCTGGTTCATCATCATCATCATCATCACTACCGTTACCATCACCTCCAAGCTCAAACGTGACGCCCTTCATTAACTTTCCTTTCGCTCTCATTAAACTCATCGCTCCATCTCACCTTCATCAAGGGTAAGGAGCACTAAACAGACGCAACCTCCATCTGACTCATAAAAACATTACTGCTTATTAAAGAAGAAGAAAAATAAAAATAAATCAGATGCTAAGCTGCATCAGGACATGCTTAAAAATGCACATGCACTCCAATGATATCAGATTGGGTTCAGACACGGGTCCTTGGCCTAATGGCTACACGTCACAGGGCAGTGGTAAGCTTTGTTTGGAGGGAATTTTAGCTAAATCGAGACACTATACATGATCCTAAAAAGGTGCACATTTAGCCTCACAGCGTTTCTGATGACAGATTTTGGACTAAAAATACCCCCTATTCTTTCGGAGACCTCAGTTTTGGCAGTACGCTTAAGCTTAAAGTTCAGATATTGGCCGATCGAACAAAAAGGAGAACTTTTACCTCTTATGACAACAACCAACATTTCTATAGTTTTTTTTTTTCAGAGTTTGGTGGCAGTGAAGGGGCTGGTTCATTGTCAATAATAAGTCACAGGGGGTTTTGTTGGTCTCAGAACTGACTACTAAACTTCCCTAGAGGACCCTGGTCTTTCCTCCGTCTTTGTGCTTCCCGGATACAAACACTCCCACACATGTACTTCAGAACAATCACCTTTTCTCTCTTGACCCTCCGTCGCTTGAACAAAGTTGAAGGAGTGTGTGTTCATTTTACCTCACAGCGCACATAAACTCAAGTATGCCTGCTGGGTTTGTTAGGAGGTATCCATGCGCGGGCAAGGCTAAGAGATTACAACCCAGGTGATAAACACAGTGATCCCTTCTGGCCACAGCTGACATGCAATATCCAGACTGGCATGCTACTGCTGGAGAGTAGCACTCTGGCGTGGATATTAGGACACGCAGTGCAGCAATATTGGAAGCACTATTAAATGTGCGACTAGTGTTAACGATAGGGTGCGAGCTAGCTGCAAAGCTAAAAAAAACAACAACACCCTCAGTCTCACCTATGCTTACCTTCAGACCAAAACAGCACACACATTCTCACAACTCATTAGCAGAATATAAAAGAATAATAATATTCACAGGGGCTGATACCAGGCATGCATCTTCCAAACAGTCTAGGAAAACAAAAAAACAAAAAAAGCTTCCGGCCCACTTCCTCAAACCCAACGGGGGGGTAAATAAAACAGTCACTTATAGACAAGGGGGGCAAATGGAAGACATAAACAACCTGGCGACATCAAGGAGGGAGTAGTCACTATAAATGCTCTCATTGGCTGTTTCCACGTGGCCGCTCAGCCAATCAGTAGCCGTCGGCCCCTTGCTGAGACAGGTTACAGATAAGAAAATAAAATCCAATCGAAGAAATAAAAATAACACAATAAAAACTAGCTTAAAAAGTAGTAGACACACATTGTTGTAAGTATCTCTGCTATAGTATGTTTTTTTTTTCTTTTTTTTTAATCTATGTCATTTCATTAAAGAGAAAAGTGTTACGTTTTTTTTTTTTCTTCTGTTATTTCATCATTAGCATCATCATCATCAACAACATAATCATCAGCATCAACAACAATACAGTTTTCAGAATTATTACTATTGGTTAAGGTGTGCGGCGTCTATATTTGTCATCTATAGGCTGCACTCTGTGTCTAAATTAAAGGGCTCTATTGGCTGAAAGAGGCTCCAGTGGAGGGAGGGAGGGAGAACTGGTCGCCATTCTTCACCTCATCCCTTGTTTAATAATCTCTTTTTGCCTTCAAAAGACTGCACGTCTCATATTTACTAGAGAACAGCCCAGTCTACTGTGTTTTCAGCTGGAAGGGGGATGTGAAGGGTTGGACTTGTATGTGGTGCAAAATGTGGAGGACAGCTTTCTATCGTCCACTGAACTCACTTCACTTCCCTTCTCCCTCCCTCGCTCTCTCAGCTTCCTATTCTGCTCCTGTGGGGGAATGATGGGAGTTGTTTAGTGACAAATAAGTAAGCCATTCGTCTTGTTCCTGCATTATTGTCATGCTTCATCTTTCCCTTCCTTTTCTTTTTTTTATTTTCTTTGCTCCCTCTCTTTTCCCACTCTCTCTCTCTCTCTCTCTCTTTCTTTCTTTCTTCGTTCTATGTTATTTCGCTTCAGCAGGACACCTCCATGGTTTGGGAGGGGCTGGGCGGCATCTGTCCGCCCTGCGAGCCCTGCGACAGGGTGCGGGAGCGAGAGCGGGACCCATCCATGGAGTAGGAGGAGGACAGGGAGGTGGTGCGGGAGCGGGACAGGCGGGTCATGCAGGAGGAGGCCACTGTGGAGAAACAGAGAAAGAAATGCAGAGTGAGATTACATGTAGAAAGTACAGAATATATAAAGTACAACACTGTGGTTACTGTGCATTTTTAGAGTCATCGTGTCCGTGTGTTTTTTCTGTCTGTTAACAGTCCAGCGCTTTACAGGAGAGGAGTCTGAACCTGAAACTTCATACATGACCTCAGTATGGTCCCTTCTCTTAGTGATTAGATTTTGGGGTCCATACATGCATTGGTGACCGCTACAGAAGTCAAAGGTCGCATTTCCCCAACACAACTCTGTGTGACTGAAAATGCACAAAAAGGCATAAGTGTAGTAGACTAACTTAGGAAGACATTGGAGGCCTATACACTGGTGATGTCAAGGTCAAAGTCAAGGTCATAAATCTTAGGTGCTTAGCCGTAACGTAAATTACAGCAAAACGCTTCCCGTCCATGCAACATATCTGTGTTACATGACAGACTGAGCTCTTGTTACATTATGGATCATTTCAAGGCAAATTCAAGGCAAGTTCATCCTCAAGTAGGTGCACAGAATCAGGTCAACATGCACACATTGGGCAGCTATGTCCATCTACTGAGGGCTCTCTAGTTTTATTGTCATCAGTCGCCTTAAAATACCAAAATAAACACATAAGTACCATCTCTCAAAACTTTCTGACTTGATGTTTTTAGCTATAAAAAAATATTTTAAAAAACAGTTAATGGTGTTTATTAGGGACTATTTTCAACAGCGGAGTCACACATTATTGGTGCTGCTGAATGTGGGATTCCAAATAATCTCCCAATGATGATAATTTAAGTTATTTATCTTTTTTGTTTTTAGTTTTGTGTTTTGGAAAATTCCTGCTAGTGTGAACATGATGAAATCTATTGACAATACTGTAAAACAGAATAGTGCAAGTTATATCCTTTTAACAAAATGCACATTTTTAGGCAAAGCTGCACACAACAGGCAATGACACATGGTTCATTTGTTCATTCTGCTTTCTTTAAACAAGGAATGTATTGACATTTGGGGGCCTTATTCAAAACACAGCTGAGTTAGAAACTAAAGATGTAGGCGCAAAAAAAGAGTTAAAACTAGCAAAAATAATAAAACCTATACAATACTTATAGAATTTAAAACTTTAAGCAAATAAATCAACTAGAACAAGAACAGCTGGAGGTAAAATAGGACAAAGTTTCAAGCTTAAATCGCCTGAAGCACAAAAATAAATGTAGATTTTTGTGCATGTCGAGTAAAACTGGATTTTCCAACCTCAGTCAAAACAGACGGCACCTGCAACATCATCCAATCAGCGTGTTGGTTGAGGGCTCACATTAGGAGACGGTAAGCAATGAAGTTACGTAAGAGGGTAAATAAATAGTAAGAGCCTTAGAAATGACGAACACTCAGAGTCTATCAGGACTCACAGAAAGCGAGGGAGTCCAACCTGAGTACACAGCTCCCAGTGATGAGTGTTAAATGATAACAGACAGCATCCAAGAGCTCAACAGTCACAGCATGTGTGTATAAATGTACGCATTGCGTCGACAACAACATGTCAGCATGAAACACATTAGAGATGATATTTAAAATGTGTGCAGAAACTTTAAAATCATTGATGAGAGCAGAGAACTTACTGTAGCCCATGCCTTGGATGAAATACTTGAACGCCTCAGTCAGTTTAGCAGGCTGCAAGCAAAAACAAGATGAGTTACATACTGCATCAAAATGACTGTTACCTGGTGATGATGCATGTGAGTGACCCCACGTGGCAGCACAGAGGAAGTACAAGACCACCTCGGTGAGCACTCTTCATGGCTGCTGCCTCTTTTGTCCTCCTCTTTAGTGTTAACACGGGACGGACGCTGAACACGTTACTTTAAGACGCGACTGGAGTTTCTGCTGCTGGTTCAAATTCAGTTATAATCACTTCACGTGCAATTAAACAAACTGGGGATGCATGATATTGGATTCTTACTGATACATGTGCATATTTTTAACACCCAGTTGCACGTGACATCCCGTCTCTCCCGTAGTGGAATTAACACATTACTATGTCTGGTGCAGACATAAAATACAACACTCACTGGGAAAAATATGAAAACTGCTTAAACCTTCACGTGAAACATTTCAAATGTACTTTTATGAGACATTTTTAAACAAAACTGTAAAATTTCAGCCTGGCAGGCATTACTGGCCTGTCCGTGAGTCGATGCTGATGTTTCATTTTAAAGCAGCCAAATCCAACAGAGATGTCCTCATCAGACTATTTTTGGGCGCTCATAAAATTTTTAGATATGATTTATCTGGATAACGCACACGTCAAGTCTGCTACATTAGCTGTTGTACCTGGTTACTGTTCGATACCAAGCAGAGAGCATTGTGGAAGTTTAGCCAGTGGAGGAGCACTGAGATAAAGACTTCTGAGAGTTTTATTGACCTTAGGCCAGCAGAAAGTGTCAAATTAAGCATGGATAACCGAGGGCAGTATTCCTACATCACAGTGCAACATAATGACGAGTGTGATAAGGTTAATTTTCTCTGATTACAGGTGTAAGATCAAGGAGGCCAAAGAAATCAGGAGGCGAGCCAAAGACACCATGAACCGTGATGAGGGGGCATTCATGCTGTCCCACACATGGGACCACATGGACATGAGACCACCTAGCAGCAGGAGGCGTGGCCCGTCTGGCAAATCTGACAGGTTGTCAGGCGAGTCACGCCTCCAGGCAACCATCAGCTGATAAAGACACGTCACCACAGACGTCAGATGATATTTCTGTATAAACATAATGATTGGCTAACAATTCCCATGAGCAACCCCCATCTCCTTGGTTCATGATGCTAGAAGATGTTCGAGCACTTCAGCCCCACTGACTGAATGTGTATATTTTCACATTAAAATCTTGCACGGTGCAGCTTTGACATCCATGTTGTGTATGTTATAATTAGCTATGTTTTAAACTATCATGTATTCTGAATCTGTATTTCTCACTGAACCTGTGATTCTGTTTTGCTTTTTTCTACTGAGCACAATGTACGTCCCTGAAGACAACATGGTCGGTGATAACTGGGAGGCAGCGGACACTCCTCTTTTCTATCAGTTACTTTAGATACACGCCTTTTGGACAGCACACACACACTTTGTATTGATCCAAGCAGGTTCTGTTCACATTTCAGTGAATTTCCATGTGGCTAGCCTGTTCACATCACAGTAACTGGCCAATTAACCTCGGTTGCGTACAAGTCCAGCCTCTACTCAGGGCAGGCCCAGCTCAAGGAGATATCTGTAACCTGAACCCGCTGGACATGAGATTACTCTCTGTCTCTCTGAATCCAGCGCTGCCTCACCTAAATAAATTCTACATCTGTGAACTGAAGATTTCTCCAGTTCGTTCTTGGGCTTCCAGCTAAAGAATCGAGCGAACAAGTATCAGCAATGTGTGGTATTTAGGAGGTTTTCAGGTGTTGTTCTCACCTGAGTCAGCTGAGGGAGGCCTCCAGCGTCAGCCATCTGTGATGAGAAACAACATGTGAGTAACAGAACAGAGAAAGAGAGGCTGTATAGATGCAAACTAAACAGACATGGCGTTCACCTTTAGGAATGAGGTTGTTGTTGGGTCCATCTTGCTGTTGCACTCCACCTGGTGGTCACACAAAGAAAAGCTGTTTTTTTTTTCTACAAAACATGCATTAAAACAAATTTATTTTCCTATTGAAATACATTTTTATTGCTTGTTAAACTTACGGCAGCATCCTCGTACGGAGCTTGGTCGCCCACCACCAACATGACTGGACACCTGAGGGAGCCACAGGTGGAGAGTTCAGGTCAGACAGGTGGAGTTTAAACGACTTAGAGGTTTATGTTTAAATTTAAAAAAGGGTATTTACTTGAAGGTGCTGTTGCGGTCGATGTTCAAGTCTCTACGACTGGAGGGAAGAAAAAGATCCTGGTCAGTGGTGGTTTGATGTGTGGAGCGTGTTTGTGATTGTGTGTTTGTGTTTGTTTACCTGTTGTAAGTCTTCCACAGGAGCTCTATGTTGACCCCATTAGAGGCTTTATTGATACGGTCTCTGTGGGACTGCACTAGATCTGTGTTTGATGACAGCTCCTCCTGCAGAATGGGTTCAGAATTAGTTGAGTGCAGCACAAAACAATAAAAAAAATTATCCAACTCCATGACCAACAACAGACGTAAGAAATTTGTAGAAAACGATGTACCTGACTGAAGAGGTGGGACAAGATCTGCTCTGTGAGGGAGGACGTCACAGAGCTCAGCTAAAGAGGAGCAGAGAAATCAATAATATAATATAATATAATATAATATAATATAATATAATATAATATAATATAATATAATATAATATAATCAATAGTGCTGTAGGACACAGACCACACATGAAGCCACGTAATTCTATAAACACATCTAAACTTGAATTGATGAAGAAACCGCCTCAGGACTAACTGGATTAAAATACCACGTTTCTGTGCGCAAGACAGTCCGGACTCATTCAGCAGAAAGAAGGAAACTAAGCAGACGCACCTTCTGAGCGGCCCAGTCTATCCATCCTCGAGCGTTGGTGTCGATGTTGATCAGAACCAGACCTTCCACTGAATCTGGGTTTGCAAGCTGACGAGAGAAAGGAAGCGACGCAGATGGTGAGTCGATAAGGAAACCGAATCACTTCAGATTAAAGATGAAATATTCAATGTATGCGTAGAAGCGCCGAGACTTTCTGTTCCGGGTTTAAACACACTTTGGCTAACCTCTATAAACACATATGTGCGTATGAATAGAGAAAGATTTGTACTTTCTTCACACACTGTTTACCTGCATGAACCACAGCCGACTGAAACATGATGGATGAATTCTACTCTGACATGAAAGTTTCCAAAGCCTTGTCCTTTGCCTACAGATTCTGCATTCGTACATGTGAATATCTGTTCTATGTTATTTTATTTTTTATTTTTTGTATTTTAGTATTTATTTTATTTATTAAATTGTTGTTCCATGCTGCTTTCATTCTGTACAGCACTTTGGTCAACCCCGGTTGTTTTAAATGTGCTCTATAAATAAAGTTTGAGTTGAGTTGAGTTGAGTTCTGGGTATTTTTAACAATCATTTAGTGAGTCTCTATTTCAAATGAGGAAACATTTCATTGGAAGAAAACTGTAATTTGGGACTAATTACTGTAAAAATAGGGACATTTACTAGAGTTTAATAGCTGTGCTGAGTTCAGCTGTTGATTTCCAGATGTAACTTTGACATTTAAACCCATGTAAATATCTATTCAGCATTTCATTATTTCAAACTTAAGTATGTTTGCCTGTATGGAAATGTCCAGTATTAGCTCACCATAAGGCACCACGCTCTAAGTTGTATCGTAAGTATTTTCCTTCTAATTAGTACCAAATAGCAGCTTTTTAAGAAAACATCCAAGAAAATGACAAACAAGCAACATAACTTTCAAATAAGACACTGGCACTGATTCCACTAACATGAATGACAATCAAAGATCAAAAGACATGAGTTCATTTCAGCAAACACCTCGACATGCTTCTATATTCTGTTTTAACAAAAACAGCGGAAGATATTGACCGCTGCCGTCTTTACGTTAAAGAAACACAGAGCTCTGCGAAGCGCTGCTGCAGACAGCGAAATGAGTCAACGTGACAGCTTTAACAAAAGACGACGCTCACCGTGAACTTGGAGAGGATGTAGGCTCCGGCTCCCACACCAACTCCGATTACAGTGCGGAAGCTGAGGAAGGAGACACAGAGTCAGTAACACGTACACTGAATACACACACATGCAGGTAAACACAGAACACGCTTTGACATGAATCAGCTCCAGATGGAAAATGCTGATTAGTTGCATAATTATCTAAACTATAACTCACTGGTTGAGTTTGACCAGGTGGAGTCACATGAAGTGTTAATCTACATGGTAAATGTTTCTTTTAATCAATCCCAAAGAAAATGAATGAATGAATAAAATAAAATTTATATTCAGATTGTTAAAACGTTTAATGACCCAAAATGTACGAACAGTTGATGAACTACCTCTGCTGTATCATCCAGTGTGTCTGAAGCTTCCAGCAGCGGTGCAACACCCATAATAAAACAGACTTTAATAGCTTTGTCTGGCTTGGCTCTGAGACGAAAACACAACCCCGACACGTTGATTCACCGACCTGCTGTGTGGGTGCGATGTGTTTATGTCAAAATAAATACCGTTAACTCACTTGAAAAACTGCAGGACAGCAGGGATCATCTCTGCTATGGTCTCCATGGACGGATACTGGTAGCTGCAACGGCAAAGTGGAACAAATGAGCAGAAAAATGATCAGCTGGGACTGTTTTCTAACCTTAGATCTCACTAAAGTATCTGCAGCGACCGGACATAAAACGCAAGGAAAGAAAATGATTTCATGAGCACGCGCCGTGGCTCACTTCTATCCGCTGGGGATTTTAAACAAGACCTAAAAGAGAATGAGCCTCAATCTGCGGAATCAGCGGCGGGAGCTAAGGGTCACGGTCGAGATGCCGAGACAATGCACGCAATGAAATCTTCCTGAGCCACTGAAATAATCAGGAAGAGGAGCGATAAAGATGTGTGGAGAGAGAAAAGGGAAGGATTTTGTTTAAACCTCTGACAAGCGCGCATTGGAGAGCACAGAGGGGGGCACATGTGAGAGATGTTAAATATTTTTAGAGGAGATTAGGTTTAAGCCTGCACAGAAGATTGTTTCCATGTCTGAAAGTTTACTTTAAAAAAAAGCGAGGTCACTGCAGCCGTGATGAGTGAACGTCGTACCCTGCAGGGTAGGCAGCAGCCCCCTCCTCCTGTCCCGGGGCGTCGACGTGGATCAGGGTGAAGTTCTTGACGATCTCCTGCATCTCCTCGAACTTGAAGAGAGTGGAGAAGCAGCTCTTACCTGTGGAGACAGGAAACAAGTGCATGAGAGGCTGAGACAAAGATATGAGACCATGGAGAGGCTGAAGAGGGATACTCACTGTCCAGGCCCACGTCGTGGAAGGTGAGGATGGCGGGCCTACGGGTGGTTCGTGTGCCGTGGAGGGTCACGTGCAGGACGCCGTGTGGGGTCTCAACACTGTGCTCCTGCAGAGAGAAACGGAGATGGTTCGTCCAGATGAAGTTAAGCTGGTTGTTAACATTTTGGGATGGACTGTGTTGTTTTTTTGTGAAGAGAAACGTTTTATTAACATTCTACTACTGATTATTTTGAGTTGGTCAGTCGCTCCTCGATGCAGGGGAGGCCAGCTGACTCTTCATCCTGCACTAAGTTCATAGTGGCACTGCACAGATGTTGTATTATTCAGGTCCGACTACATCCCTTCATAATGGCGTGTTGTCTTTTTGAAAAACTGCCAGAATTACATCATTTATTAGAGATATATCAACGTCCACATCGGTATCGCCCGATATGAGTGTTTTTTCCAATATATCGGTATCAGTCCGATGAACAAATTTAGCCGAACATCAGCGCCTTCGTCTCTACGTTTGATATTGCTGCTATTTCACAGATGTTTTTACTTAAATGGTCCTTTAACGTTAAATATGTTAAAATAAGTTTAACTATGTTTTACTTTTGTTAGGTAATAAAGAAGATTATGTGGTCTAATTAGTTTTCACGTTCTCACAGTGATCACTCATTTTTCGGTGTGAACAAAAACTGAATATCGACATCGGTAATATCGGTTATTGGCGATATTAATAGCCGATACAAAGATGATGCCAAACGAAATGAGCTGTATTTTTGAACAATGACAATAAAGCTTCTTCTAAGATTTTTTACTAGTAAAAAAAAGAAAAAAGCTACTGCAACACCAATAATAACATAAAATACTTAACCCAAGTTAATAAAAACATTAACAATAAAGTCAACGCTTGAACATTTACCAAATGATGCAGATGTCAAATATGTACAATATCATAAAACACATTTTGTCCTAATGTATACTTCATACGGTCTCACCTGTCCTTGGTCCAGGAGTATCCTGGCAGCCAGTTCAGCATCCTGTGACAAACAGAGGAAGGTCTTATTAGCAAAAGCTGCACAATGGACATGTGAATAAATCACTTTAGACAGAAAAGCAAGAGAGAAACTAAGAATCAAAGAGAGGGCAATATTCACTTCTAAAACCAACACAGAATCCATGATGTAATGAACTCAAGCCTGCAGGAAACTTCATACGTTGTTCTATTTTTGTCTTGTTTAAGCTTTTCAAAGAATCTTTATAAAGTTTAAAGCTGACTTCTTCTTTCTTTTAAGTGCCCATAAATGAAAACAAAATCTCCAAGAGAACAATCTGAGCTTTATGTTCTTTCTTTTCTTTGTCCTTTCATGTTAAGCGACGTCTTGCTTCTTAATTAACGCCCACACGGGGAGGACGGGTGGCTTAATGCTGCTCAGGAAGCAGCACAGAATCTGTTCAGAGGAGCAGGTGGCTGTTGCATGCTGGGTAATGTATGGAGGCAGTCTGTCAGAGGGTTTTATATGCAACCTTTGGTCCATTTACCCAATCGATGAACTGTTCGCATCACGAGTTCTTAGAAGTGAGCAGAGTGGGTCGTTGAAGTGGACTCAGTGAACAAAGGAACTTCAAATATAATGCAGGACGTCCAAAACGTCATTACAAGGATTTGTCGGTGTCACACGGCTGATCTTAAACAAGTTTTCCTCCTGTTCTCTTCCATCCAAGAATGAGCTTTTCAGGTTTTTTTTCATTTTCAGGAACTGAGCACATAATCAGTGAAAAATTGTACCAAAATAAAGGTCGTCCACACCTACAACGATACAGCACCTTTCAAAATAAAAGTTTCTCCTTTTATTGCTTTCAACAGTAAATGGTGGTCCATATAATTTGACTTTTTTGACAAGAATTGAGTTTTACAAAGATTTTTTCAAGTCAAAAAGAAACAAATTTCTACAAAGTCATGGTAATTAAAAATACATAATGTCAAATAACGAGTATTTAAAGCGACTAGTGAAGGAGGCCACGAGACAATAATGACAACTCTGAAGAAGATGCAAGCGTCAGCGGCTGAGATGAGAGACTGTGCTCACATCAGCTGTTCATCACCAGTTACATGAACAGACAACACTACTGGGTAAGGAAACTCATGATAAATCTTTAATAAAGTTCATCAGAAGGCACGTGGGCGACTCTGAAGTCAACTGGAACAAGAAGGTTCTTTGGCTGGATGACACCAACATTGAACTTGCTGGCCGTTAGACTGGATGCTGTGTCTGGTTGACACCAAACGCTGCACATCGTCACAAACACAACACCGTGGCAGCAGCATGACGTTGGGATTCTTCTTGGCAGCCCGCCCTGGGAGGCTCGAGAAGGCACAGAGGAAAATTAGGGGACGACAACCTAATATAGTCTGCAGGAGAACTGCGACTTGGGAGAAGGTTTGTTTTCCAGCAAGACAAGAACCCGAATCACAGAAATGATTTAAAGACGACCAAGAAAAGGTCCTGAAGTGGCTGAGTCAGAAGTCAGACCTCAATCCGACTGAGACTGAGTTTGAGCAGTTTTGCAAAGAAGAACAGTGTAAAAAAAACAATTATATGGACGATGATTAAATGTTGAAAGGCAATAAAAAGGAAAAACCTTCCCAGTGGGGTGAATGTATTTAATGCAGGAGGCTCCAGTTGGTCAAAGTGAGTTTTGGCGACTTGTTGCTGTTGTGCAGAGAAACAAAAAGAGAACCAGAAGGATGTGTGTTCACAAAACTCTTAGCAGACGTCTGTTACAAGAAGTCAGATCAAATTTTATTCCTACTTTGAAAGCCAGTAACAATCTGATGGTATCTGGTCGAAAGACTCCAGAGACCCCATCAGCACTACAGACCGTTTGACAGTATGTCTTTAGTAAACTCACATTTTAATGTAATTTAAAGCTTATTATTTGGTTGGATAAGCCACGACTGCGTGACTAGAGCACCTAAAACTACTCTGTGCCATCAATGAGCCACAAATTAAAGACGTAGAAATTGAAGATGTACCATTAATATAAAGTTATTCATCTTATTACTGTGATCAATAACAATATGAATAATAAGAAAAGAGCTGAAAGTAACTGTTTGCTTATTTCATGACGTGTGAACAAACTTTATTGCAGATAAATATGATGAAAACGTTTTTTACTAACGCTTGCTCGCGTGTGGCACAAACACATCTTCCTGAGCACTATGCTTCACACAATAATGAACTATTTTATTTTCTGTTGTACAAAAGACAGAAAAGCAATCAAGTACTTTTGTATCAAAGACCAGGATGTGTTTTGACTGGCTGTTAATGTTTCCTGTTGTTCATCAGGTCGTTGTTATAGCTGTGGTGTAGAATGAACCATTTGAGTTAAAATGATTTTTGAAGCAATATAACTACAGCTGACATTGTGGTAATTACACTTGCTGTGGATGGCTGCTTTTTCTATAGGATTAAAAAAATCACTTGATTGATTAAAAAACTAATTGTGATTGTCTCATGTATGTACCTTAACGCAAAAACAGCACAAGACTTTCAACTCTTCTTCAAGCTTTTCCTCTCATATGTGAGGATTTTCTGATTTTCTTAGTTTTAAATCACAAAATGACAAAGTAAGACGTTTGAAGGCGTCACTTTGGGCTGCATTTTTTACTACTGTAAAATAATCTATTAAAATAATTGCTAGTTGCAAGGGCTGCAAGGTGGTTAGTGGTAAGTGGTTAGCACCGTCGCCTCGCAGCTAGAAGGTCGCCGGTTCACGTCCCGGTGAGGACACCCGGGATCTTTCTGCATGGAGTCTCCATGTTCTCCCTGTGCAGCGTGGGTTCTCTCCAGGTTCTCCGGCTTCCTCCCACAGTCCAGAAACATGTTGAGGTTAATTGGTGATTCTAAATTGTCCGTAGGTGTGAATGTGAGTGTGCTTGGTTGAGTCAGCTGGGATAGACTCCAGCCCCCCATCACCCTAGTGAGGACTAGGCGGTGTATAGATAATGGATGGATGGATGTTAGTTGCACCCCAAACCAGCACAGTTCACAGACTTCTTTGAAAGCCAACGTAAAAAGGGCGCCCCGGTAGCTCAACCAGATGAGACGGTGACCCATATTCAGAGGCTATAGTCCCAGACACAGCGGTCGTGGGTTCGACTCGGATGTTTGCTGCAGGTCTTTCCCCATTTTTCACCCCTTTCCCTTTCCTATCTGTCCTGCTAATAAAGGCAAAAAAAAAAAAAGCCCATAAAAGAAAATAATTTTAAAATGAAGCGTTGGAGATGAAGGTTTTTATCTAATAACAAATTCAGTGTGTGAATACGCTGCACTATAATTAGAATATAGAAGTTCTGCCTCCTTTTTATTTCATACTTTCTGAACCAGTCTCTCTCTCCTGCCTTTGTCCTTTCACCAGCTCGACATCAAATCAAACTATATAATCCATTTAGCCCCTTTGTAAATCTGGGTTGTTTTTGTTGTAGCCCTGCATTTCCCCGTTTTCCCACCAGGTGTCAGCAGTGAGCAGCAAACCCGTCGGCTCTGCAGCGCTGCATCTGCACGGCAACATCAGCGCAGCAGAGCAGAGGAGCTGCTATCGCTCCCTCTGGGCTTTGACGTCAACCCAGCAGATATGAGCCAGCGCTGCAGCTGTGCGCAAACACACACAGCAACACACACTCTCACACACACACACGGGCGTGCACACAAGTGCTTGGAACACATGTTGTCTCATGTAGGTTCTGCTCAGACTCAAACACTTGCAATCATGCGCATATGTGCAAAGGACACATGGCAACACTGCTCTTGTTTTTCTGCCTCTTGGGACACACACGCATGCTCTGGCAGCTTTCTGTGGTTCCAGGTCGTGTCCATGTGTCGTCTGGATGACGTTAAATCAGCATATGTGCACATTTTTGCATGCAGCCTACATTAAAAGCAAGTTTCTGCACATGGTACCATCTCTGACCTTGGTGCTGTCAGCCTGACCCGTGAGCAAAGGCTTCTCCTCCGTGATGGCGATCTCCTGCATCTCTGTTGTCATGGTGTCGCCTCCTGTGCAGGTAAAACACACCATGATGTTATTTTCACTGTCATCCTTCGACAAGCACTCACACGCGGCGCACAGATGTGTCAAACACGCCGATTTATGCACACACAGGCACACACCGAGTGATTAAATACTGTATGTAGCTGCTATCCCCTGGGGCGTTGTTTGGGCTGTGGGACCTTATGAAAGTTAATCAGTAATTAGTGCCAGCAGAGATGAGCAGAGAAGGATTGTGGGGCGGAAGAAGCTAAAAGAGAAGAGGAGGGGTGCATTCTGGATATTTTACAAATTCTTAGCAAACGATTCTGAGAAATGGGTGAAGCAAGAGGACTGAGGGCAGGTGGAATAATGTGACACAAGAAGAAAAATAAGAACGAACAGCCACCTGAGGGGAGGACTGACAAACAAGCGCCTGATAGGGGAAAAAAAATTGCATTACATTTCCTTTATCTGAGGAAGGTTAGTCGAGCACTTAATTCCAGACACCTTCACACTTTTTCGGTGGTCGTCCACCGCAGCAGCTCGCCCAAGGGCATCTCAGAGGTGATTGTTCAGAGAGGAAGAGCGTTTCATTCCTCCACCCTGATCTCCCCACATGTCTGGGAAGTGAAGCTCTGACAGTTGTGCCATTCTCTTCACGCTGAGGTGCTGCTTCACCCTTTGAGTTTCTTAAAATGTCACCCAGACTGAAAGATGGTCCTGATCATGTCGGCTAAAGAATTAGTTGACTGTGGTATTTATTTTGTTGCACCGTTGGCATCTTTGACATTCAGGTGCTACATCAGTGACATTTAATAGCCAGATAACCGCGAGTTTATCGGGTTTCACGCAGCTCCCTCTGGACTGTGGTGTGTGAAACATCTTGGGTCTCCAGCGTTCGCCAGTTGTGCAAATATGGTTGCCTGAATGTTCAGAATTGAGCAAGACAGCCTCCACAGGTCACGGAGACTCCAGTCCAAATTAGCCTTGCTACCTCAAGCTTAGCACCTTCTATCAACAGTTCAGACCGTCGCCTGACTTGCCCCCGCACCTTGGCCCACAAATTCAACAAGTGCCAGACGAGGGCCGGGCCAAGAGAACAAACAACCTCACTTACACAGGAAGTAGTTCTGCTGTTACAACAATGCAAAACACACACGTTCAAAGAAATCACAAGAGGGGTCAAGGAATGACCTCACTTTCATACATATGGAATCAAAAAAAAACAAGCAAAACCAGGACCAGGTTCAGAGTGTCTGGCCTGGACCAGGTGTACCCAGACAGGACCACACACCAGTTTGTCAGAACTTGAAGCAGAACACTGGAAGTGTGTGGAAGAGTTGGGGGGCTACAGGGTTGTGGGTGTTTTCAATTTACAATTTCATGTAGCAGATGCTTTTATCCAAAGCGACGTACATCTGAGAGTAGATCACATTCATACACCATTGGTGACAGAGCTGCCATGCAGGTCGCTGCCTGCCATTGGGAACAGATTCAGGTTCAGTGTCTTGCCCAAGGACACTTCGACTGTGGAGGGGCGGGGGATCGAACTGCCAACCTTGCGATTAGAGGACAACCTGCTCTAAAACCTGAGCCACAGCCGCCTGTTTTCAGACTACAAAGCCCACCCATCGGTCTCCATCAGGGTGATCTGTGGTGCAAACGGGGGGTGACGGGAGGCCCAGGTGGCCCCGGACCAGCATGCCCCAGCAGACCTGCATGGCGTCCAACAGTGGAGGATGAAGGGGCTCCATTATCAAAGTATGGAAGTCCGTCTATGAGCCAGAGTTTTGTTGTGGAATAAACTTGCAACAGTTTGCATTTCAGTGAAACTATCAAGCATTCTATCAAACGATATTCTAATTATACTGATAAAGTGTCAGTCGGTGGTACGATAGACTCTCGTTTTATGACCCAGACCTACATCAGAAGATCTCCGTGAGGCAGAGACTGTGCAAGTGCATCTGTATCCAACTTGTCTGTACAGTGGGACAAGGTGTTCAGTTTGTCGCCCACGGCTAAAAAACAAAGAACGGCAAAATATTCCTGCAAAAGCGACACTATAGTTTTCAATGTTTCGTACAAATTTCAGTCAAATGCTTTGCTATCATCATGGGCCGACATTAAATTATGTATACTTGTACTTCATGGCTGTTTGATTCAGATAAAAGCAGCTGCAGGCTGATATGAACGGTGCAACAATCACGTCATGGTTGGCAGTGATACCTTTCAGGTGTCTCGTGAGCTAGTGAACTAGTGCAGCCCCACTTTGTCATTTTGTTCTGGAACCGGGTCTGCACTCACATGAGGAGAACTTCAGTCAGCAGGTGCTTCAGGAGGAATTTGGGCATTTTGAGGTTCACCTGTGTCCTACTTCACTTCGTCGCTGCATTGTGACGATCAGACTTTTTAACTGGAGCTCGACCTGAATCATAGAAACAAGCCAGTGGAAGCTGGAAACACAACAAGCGTCCAGGCCGGTGGTGTGCAGCGCAGACGACTGCTGAATCCTTCAGTTTGTGTTTCTGCTCTCGAGTGCAAAGCTAGCTAGACAAATTGTTGCTTAGAAACAAAGGAAACGGTTGACGTTGTGTCATGTGAAGCAACTAAATGTCTGCACAGCAGGTTTGCATAAAAAGAGCAGCTTTGTGTTACTGCTGTCCTTCATTCCTACTGTGTTGCGTGCATCCTCCTGCTGCATCGTCGAGTCATTTAGGCCTATTTCTAAATGTTGCATTTGCCTTTTACAATTTGTGTTTGTCCTGTTTTCAATGACTGCTTTTGTAGACTGCGAACAAAAAAACCCATCAGCTTTGAATCTGCATCAACAGCGTATCAATACAAATCTAATGCTGTAAAATGACCCACGCTGAGCTCCCCGTTAGTGGCACGACAGCGTTTTGAGTCGTGCTTTCAGACTTTATTAAGTCAAAAAGGAAATATTACAAAGCAAGTGAGCACACTCAGGTTGTTATTGTGTCCGTCTCGCAGCATCGTGCTCGGTCTGACATTTAAACCTGAGATATGGGACCTTCTGACATGGCTCTCATAAAGCGATGACTGTATTCTATCTGCACATTACATCAGAGGGGGGGCGAGGCCGCTCGTTGTGTGTTTCTGTGTGTCGGCGCTCGTGTTTGTGTGCGTGTGTGCACTCATCAGAAAATGAACTACGGCCTCGGGGGAGTTGTGTCTCTCTGGGTCTCAAACGGAAATGATTAGTCACCGAAGGACCCCAACACACACCAACACACACACACACACACACACACATACCAACACACACTGCTCCCATTGTTCAGCATCCATCCTCCTGCCGTCTCTTTACATTCATCTGTTTATTAGCCTCCCAGATATTGCATTTGTCAGTGTCTTTTTTCTTTCTCTGCTACCTCTACCAGTGTCTTTGTGTCTCTCTCTCTGTCAGATTCCAACCAAAAGGCACTCGACGAGCAATCCTCCACCAACTACACTCGTTTTTGTAATACTGCAGCCTCTGTAAATACTGTTGGTCCTGAAAAATAGACAAAAAAATGAGCATAAAGTTAATAATCTAATGGAAATGCTGCAGCTGACGGATCTCTGAGCCAACTATCAGTTCATAAAACTGCTCCCAAATCCATTCAGTCGCCACCTATCGCTTTCCTCATCAATTAATCCGCTGAATGGAGCCCGGCTGGAGTTCAGGCAGCTCACTTCCTGGTCCCACGTTCCATATGTTGTCCAATCGTGTATGTCCGCTTTCTATATGTGACACTATCGCATATAGGCGGCCCATCTGTGCATTTATTCTGTCTGCACATTCTTCAGTCGCTCTTCTGCATCATCGCCAGCAGCTCTCTAATATCTTAAATGTTTCTTAAAGTGATGAATTCATTTTTATGAACATTCATTTAAAATGTAATCAGTTTAAAATCTTGGAAAACAAAGAAAAGTAACAAATCATGAAGGTTTATGAAGCTGGAGGCCGTAAATGTTTTGCCTGACAACTGAGCCGATTAATTATCTTAATCATTGTAGATTGATTTTCTGTCACTTGACCGATCAGTTAAACGACCACTGATTGACAGAGACCGAGATAAATACCACAAATTTCTATTGGCGAGATATTTAACCACTTAAGAAAATACACACATACTTAAAATTATCTTTGTCTGCACTCCCATAAAGTGTAAAACACCATCGCATAAGAGTGTCTCAGTGCACAATGAAGACAAGCAGCAGAACTAACAAACAATTCAAGTGGCAAATTAAAGAAACACAAATTAAAATAGTTGGAGATAAAACAGTTAAAAGCAGCAGACTGCAACGGGAGGATTAAAACAAATAGAGGTGTGGAGCCGAGCAGATAAATTAGACGCTGCAGGACAAACAAAGCGTTCTAGATTTGTTCTAAATTGAGAGGTTAGACGGCTTCATAGGAAAGAACCTCAGGAGAGGATCGATTGGTCCAGCACCAGGAAGCAGAGCTCTGGTAGATGCTGCTGTACGCTGCTCGTCCGTGTAGTGCTTCACGGTCAACTCTAGTCTGTTTCTGCTAATTATATAAACATCTGAAATACTTCCGGATCTCCAATGAAGCTAATATCGACAATCACATCCACACATGGCAGTTAATTGAGACAAACGCGACAGCCTGAGCTCAGCGTCCTGCTCCATGTCCAGCGGCTTCATCAGGCCTGTTTCTGGACCGCGGCTTTGCCAAAGACTTTGGAGGCTCCACTGCAGATGAAGTGCCTTCAGCATGAAGCACATTAACACATGCAACGATGCAAACGCGTGACGCAAGCACTTAGGCTGGATACGACACTGAAAAAACAAAATCTATTTATTAAAAAAAACCGAAAAGCAAGAGGGGCAGAAAAATAAACTAAAAATGATGAACGACTGTTTTGTCCAAAAATGGTAGAAAAGCTAAATTAACAGCAAATATCTGTAAAATAAGGATATTTTTAGCTGATTTAAATACAGTAAAACAGGGTTATGCAAACAAAAAGGCAGGGACGTGGAAATGTTTTTTTTAAAG